ATAGGGATATAGAGTGGAGAGTCTTGCCCAGTCTGACCTTTGCTCCAAACTCTAACCTCACTGAATCTTTGGGGTGAATGTCATTATCACCTTTGCATAACAAGCAGTACATCCAAGGATCCTGGCAAATTGGCTTCTTCCAGGAAGCAATTTTATCATCTTCTATGGTTCCCACCCTCCTACACTCACTCACACTAACTTTATCACTAGCAGAGAATTTGGCTTTTCCAACTATCTGAGGCTCCAGTGTACCAGGCTTTATGCCGTCTCCTTTTGTAGGTGGCAATCAGTATCTCTAGAAAGGCTCTATCTTTTTTTAACTTTCCCTGTTTTCAAAATGTATTTCAGCTTAAGTGTATCAGTTTTTTTCTGGGGTCCTACTAAAGGCTGCAAGTTGTAGCCAAAAACATCAATACCTTCACATTTTCCTACTGTATCTCTGAGAGACTCAAATTGTCTAAGCCCCAAGTTACTACAGGCTACAGTTTGACAAGCTTTTCTCCTATTGCACAATAATAATGGCCAACTTCCCAGCCCTGAACGGAGGCGTCTTTTCTGCCCTCCATCCTCCCTTGCCTAGATTATTTTACATGTTAAGCACTGTGATTTGTAGCACCCTATTTCTTTCTGGCCCTGATCTCTATATCAGTTAGCACTCCTTGGTTGCAAGCACAGAAACTATTTGTAATCCACAAAGAAAATGAATCCTTTGTAAATATATGAATAGTTCACAGAAGGGTTGGAGAAACATATTTAAGAAAAGAGAAATCAGGTAAAGCTACAGAGGAAGCAGGAACTACTTAGCATTCTTAAAAGGACACCGCCAGTGGTAAAACTGAGCTACATTTTTTTTCTCTTCTATATATCGTTCTACTCAATCTGTAAGGATGGTGAGTTTCATTGGTCTAGGTTGGGTCACCTACCAACCCCTTAGATTAGGAGAGAACAAGGCATCTAACTGTACTAGCCTGCTGAAACTGCCCACAGTGGTGAAGAGGAATCCTCAAAGGAAGTCAGAGTGCTAATACCATAAAAAGGAGGCATGAGTGCTGGGTGGGAAGAACAAAATAAACCAGCACTGCAGAGAAAGGAAAGCGATACCATTTCCTTAGGACTTCTTTAGAGCCTACCTGAGGGGCCGCCTCCTGCTCTTTCCAACACCTACATCCTTGGATTGTACACACACCTCCAGTTGGATGACTAAATCCAGAGTCCTGTGATGTTGCAGCAGTGATTCTAATGGTCCTTGGTTTGGGCCCCCATAATAACATCACCGGACCCCTCAACCTGCAGAGTGCCTGGTCCACGCAGCTGCTTTTGGGATGTACATAGGACCCAAATTGAGCCAGTTAGAGGTCTCTCTAGGACTTTGGAAGGGAGGTGAAGATTGGTTTTTTAGTTTTTCTTAGATCTTGAACTCCAAGGACCACATAAGCCTACACCTTCCTAGCAAAGACCATGTCCAAGAATGAAGCCAAAAAGGAAAACAAAATTACAAATATACCCAAAAGCGCAGTCAGAAAGTTTGGAGATAATTCTTTAATTTCATAGCTTCTCTCTTCCTCAGTTTCAGAGTCCCAAGTTCTTCTGGTCAAGAGAACACTGAATGAATTCATGTTCTCCAAAGTTTGGGTCACATTTCTTGTATTTTTATCTTAGGACTAAAAGGCAAATTCAACTTTCCTCAGATTTAAACCATAACATAGAAATGAGAAAATACCCTATTCTTCACCAGCTGAAACAATTATTTATTTTTAGGGCTCTTCCTACAAAACTCTTCAAGAGATGCTTCATTGAGGTTATCCCAGTGAAGAGGGAAGCTAAGAGGTGGTTGGCCTCAGGTTGAAGTCACTTATACACAGGCATCTTCAAAAGTAACTGGAAGACAAATGCTTTGTTAATTCATTTGTGATTGGAATGTTCTATCTAAAGTGAAAGCATATATTCAGTACTGGTTCTTTTTGGAGTTACAGTCAAAAGTTGGAAACAGAGTACTAATAATAATTTGCACAGGAAATTATCAGTGATGGCCACTTGAAGAAGACATCCCACAGTATGCTTCTTGCTTTAAAAAAGAAAAACAACCCTATATTGTTCGGCTTCACAATTTACAGACCATACCTAGATTTTTTTCCTACCATAATTAGTCACTTATTTTCCAACTTGCATTTTTACCCAGGTAAGTGACTTAGCACTCATTCCCATATATTTTAATTCTGTTTAATTCCAAATACTCTTTAAACAAAAGTCACTTTGGCCAGATTTAAGAGATATTTCATCAGATGTCATATGAAAATTTACAATGGTAGATGGAACTATCTGTTGTCCCTTTCCAGCTCCAAAATGCTTGATCCTCCGTGGGGACAGTCAAGTCATAGTTACAATCAGACATTATAATCTGCATTTTTTCCTTCTTCCCATGTTCTGCAAATTATAACTAATTGAATAAACTGTTTTCTACATCCTTCACCTTCTCTTTCAATTCTGGGTATAAAGTTTTTCTAGTAACCTGCTAGATTGATCATTGATCTTAAAAGAGAGAATGAATGTATACTTAGCATTGTATGGATTTTGTCCTAGTCTAACTTCATGCACTGAACAGTGCACTTCACAGGTGAAACTAATAGATCCAAATGTGAGACCCCTAGAGGTAGATGCTACCTCCAGAATCTGCCATCATGAATTTGGCCACCTGCCTGCATGACATCCTGTTGTAAGGACCAGGAGACAAATACCTCACTCTCCCTTTGTCAAGGTTTTTCCCTGGCTAGAAGCATGCTTGGGAAGCCCCTAGAGCAGCAAAGGGCGGGATGAAGGCTTTGGCTGGCTGCACTCCAGCCTTTCAAAGATGCCAAGTTATTCAAAAGGAGCAGTCCCTCGGCTGTGGCAGTCCCCGGCTAGACTCTGTGGACAGGAGGGCTCTGGCTTCCTTCTCTGCCATCTAGGAACTCAAGTCTGATGAAGCCTGCAGGCCTGAATTCAAGAAAACCACAATGAACCTGAAAGAAACAAGATTTTAAAAGGGTCCCAGTCCCACCTCTCACCACAGCTGGTCTCTGAGAGGCATGGTCTGCAGAGGATGATGTCTGGGACAATTCTAGGAGGGCTGCTTGGCTCGGTGGAAGGATTCCCACCCAACATTCTCATCTGGGAGTAGATGGATACTAAGGATGTAAGAAGATACTTCTAGAGTCTCTCTATGAATTTTTCAATTTTTTTTCTTAAGGAAAAGTTAAGAGGCTCTTCAGTATTTTTTTGTAGGGACTTTAACCCATTAAATAGCTGCTGAATAAAAGGATGAGGTTCTCTGCATGACGACTAGCCCAAGACCAGGCTAAAATTATTAAAGGCCATTCAATGGTCCCCTAACACTTTTCAGCGCCAGTTACTCTCACCCTGCTATTCATGAGGAACCTGGAAACTTGATCCAAGAGTGACTGATAGGACTTCAGATCCAGCCCCTTTATGTCTGGTGGACATAGGGATGTGGGCAGAGTTGTAAAGTACTTATCTCACAAACAACACTGTATTTTCCCTTCAAATCCTAATGCACTGTATCTTAATTCCTGCACTTTCATTCTAGGTGAAAATCTGTTTTGTGTCAGCAGAAATTTCTTTCATAAAAAAATATTTTCCCCAGGAATAAAAAAATTGAACAGTTTTAAATTAGTGTCAAATTAGATCTTTGAAAGCTTAATAAGCAAATACGCAGAATGAAGGCCACAAGGTATAACGTCTGGGCAGTGTCAAAAGTAAAGCTTCAAGTGAGAAAAGATTTAAAACTGTCCTCCATAACACAGAGTTCCACATTAAGGAGGAGTAAAATCTAGACTTACGATCTTGAAGCCTAAATATCTGTTCCCCCACTCCTTCAACCAAGTGACATTAAAATGAGGGTTACTAGGCCCTCTTCAAGGGCCACATCTATATCCTTCTTAGTCCCACGTGGGAATGAAACTAACAATGTTTCACTCTTCAAGAGGCAAATACATTTACCAGCTGAAGGAGAAATGAGTGTGGGCGGACAGGTTCAGTTAGACTTGGTAACATGGAATCTAAAAATCAATCCATTCAAAATAAAGAAATTCATGTAGTTGGGGAAGGAGCCCTAATCTCAGATTTACACAGAATCAGGTACAGACACTGAGATGTCTTCTATTTCCCATAATAAATGGAGATATTTCTCTATTAAACACTCCTATTTATAATGACTGAGGAGTAATCAAATTTTGTGAGGTCTCACAACAGGATGTATTAAGAGAAGCTGCAAGATTTGAGGCTATATTGAAAGGAGAGATAACAATGATAAAGCATGAGAAACTTCTCCAGCAAGTCCCCATTACTAGCAAAGTTGGACTTGATTAATACTCTGTTTTATTATTAAACTTAAAATAACTTAAGGCAGGATACTATCGAGATCATATTGCCAAACTAGCTGTTGTATGCTTCTGGTGGAAGTAGAACATGGGGCCTTAAAATATGCATATACCCTTTGACACAATAATTCTGTTTTTCAGGAAATACCCAAATAGAATAATTAGAAAGGTAGGCAAAGATATATGTGTAAAGATAAGTTAAAACTGTATTTATAATGGGCAAAAGCTCTAAAATTCATTAAATCAGAGGTCAGCAAATATTTTCTGTAAAGGCCCAAATGGTAGATATTTCAGGGGACTTTGCACACCATACTGTCTCTGTCACAACTGCTCCTTTGCCGCTGTGGTGTGAGAGCAGCACAGATAACAGCAAATGAATGGGTGTGGCTGGCTTCCAGTACAACTTTATATATGGACACTGAAATATGAATCTATATGATTTTCAAGTTTCATGAAATATTGTTTTGATTCTTTTCAACAATTTAAAAATATAAAATCCATTTTTGCTCACAGGTTTTACAAAAACAGGTAGTGGGACAGATTTGCCAATCCCTGAATTAAATTATATGATTATTAAAATTTTATGTTCATTATTAGTATCAGTGAAAATTACACAGTTTGTGCTCGCTTCAGCAGCAAACATACTAAAATGGAACAATACAGAGAAGATTAGCATGGCCCCTGTGCAAGGATGACATGCAAATTCATGAAGCATTCCATATTTTTATGGCCAACAGACACATGAAAAGATGCTCCACATCGCTAGTCATTAGAGAAAAGCAAATTAAAACCACAATGAGATATCACCTCACACCAGTAAGGATGGCCACCATCCAAAAGACAAACAACAACAAATGTTGGCGAGGTTGTGGAGAAAGGGAAACCCTCCTACACTGCTGGTGGGAATGTAAATTAGTTCAACCATTGTGGAAAGCAGTATGGAGGGTCCTCAAAAAGTTCAAAATAGAAATACCATTTGACCCAGGAATTCCACTTCTAGGAATTTACCCTAAGAATGCAGCACTCCAGTTTGAAAAAGACAGATGCACCCCTATGTTTATCGCAGCACTATTTACTGGCCAGGAAATGGAAGCAACCTAAGTGTCCATCAGTAGGTGAATGGATAAAGAAGATGTGGTACATATACACAATGGAATATTATTCAGCCATAAGAAAAAAAAAGATCCTACCATTTGCAACAACATGGATGGAGCTAGAGGGTATTGTGCTCAGTGAAATAAGCTAGGCGGAGAAAGACAAGTACCAAATGATTTCACTCATATGTGGAGCATAAGAACAAAGCAAAAACTGAAGGAACAAAATAGCAGCAGAATCACAGAACCCAAGAATGGACTAACAGTTACCAAAGGGAAAGGGAAGGGAGGGATAAGGTGCAGGAAGAAGAAAGGGGGCCTTACGATCAGCATGTATAATGTGGGGGTCACGGGGAGGGCTGTGCAACACAGAGAAGACAAGTAGTGATTTTATAGTATCTTACTAAGCTGATGGACAGTGACTAATGGGGTATGTGGGGGCGACTTGGTGAAGGGGGGAGCCTAGTAAGCATAATGTTCCTCATGTAATTGTAGATTAATGATAACAAAAAATAAAAATAAAAATAAAATTACAGTTTGAGGAGAAAGGTGAGAGGGAAGGGAGTGGGGAGATGAAGGGGACACTGAGTGATATGCTAAAATTTTATAGTAGTTATTCTTAGACTGAGGTCTTATGGAAAATATACATATATGATTTTTCTTTTATTCCTCATTTTTTGTATTTTTAAAAATTTTCTACAATATGTATGTTATTTTATGATTAAAAGTGATACTTTATGACAACTTTTTTTGGCTGAAATGATTCATTCCTTTCTCATTCTTTAGACATTACTCAGAAACTTTGGACTTGCCGATATTCTTGACAAAACTCACACTATTTTTTAGCAATAACTTTTAAACAACACCGTTTTTAAGAACAGTAGCTAACAGTTTATTTTCAGAGGCATATAGTTTTTAAAATTAAATACTTATGAGCTAAGCCCCCAAGTCATAGTCTGTCTGCTTTACATTTTCCCTCCCAGCCAGCCGTGTGCACCCTTCAGCCTCTCCCTAGCTACTTAGGAAGTACAGGCTGACCCAGCTCTCCTGTGCTGGCATAACACCTCCAACTCTTTCACCTTACCTGCACCCAGCTGAGCATCTCAGATACTTCCCTCTAACCTCAGAGGCTTGCCATGCAAAGCTCATATGCATGCACCTCATTCAAAGCCCACACATGACCTCTAATTCACCTGTTACTGGCTCAAGGGTCGTTAACAAGCAACCTGTACCTTGCTGCAGTGGGGCAGTGGTGTGTATACCAGATAATGGCTCACTCCGTAGGACTTCCAGAAATATCTTCGCATTTATTTTAAAAGGAGGCTTGGAATCTTAATATCTTAATTCTATTGAATAATTAGCTAATGGGCAGATCTCAGGCATCCAAGTCAGCATTTCCCATGCACATTTCACAAACACTTGTCCTGTGAGATATTGCAAGGGTAAAAAAAAAAAAAAGACATGTTTGGATCATTCTGAAAGATAATGCATACAATATTCCATTTTTGAAACTCATAATTCATATTAGCATATATAATAAAGGCTTTGCAAAGTGCAAAAGTAAAGACACACATTGAATTTTGTTCAATTCATGTGTGTCCCAAAGTTATTTGCAGCCTACCTCCACTGGCACCCCAGCCCCTTTGTTTTAATAGGAACACAAAAATGTCCAAAACACCCAGCAGAAGCAGGGTTCCCAAAGAGTACTCCTGGGAATACCCCGACCTGACCAGAGTCCATCCCGTCTGCAGTGAGACCAGAGCGCACACACAAGAGCTGGTTTGGAAAGGAGGGCAGTGGGACATAACGTGCCCTAGCACCCCTCAAATCATCGTGCATCAGAGCGTGATGGTCTCAGACTCTGAATTCAATCCATCCTGGCCTGGGTTCCGCTGTGTTCTCCGGCTGCTTTAGCACAGCTGCCATTTGCATCTCTGCTTAGACTGCTGAGCACCTTCAACTCCCTCTTTCACCACTTGCTCTTCTTTCTGTCAATCTCTGACTCCATGCCACATGCGCTCTCACTCTAGTACATTCCCCTCATTGCTGGGTGCTCACTTCCCAACTGTGTATTTAAATTTAAAGTAAAAGCACCATAGCTGCGCTTGGTTGCTGCCCAAAATTAGCATATGTTTTCAGTATTTATGAGACACACACAGCTGACATTTTTAGAAAATTGCATTCCATCTGCAAAAACATACATATCCAACTGTGATGAGATTAGATGTTCCTGCATTTATTTTTCTAAGAACTGAGCACATTCAATACACAGTCTTCTCTGAATGCATCTCATTGTTTCTCTTCTGGCAGTGTCTTTCAAATATCCAATCACCAGGGACAGTTATGCATTAACCTTTAATTCAGTTAATAGCCTCTCAGAAAAACATGTACAATTCCCAAAAGGCAAATCTTTACAGCCAGTCTGCAAAGGATACAGAATAGAATATTGTTGCAGCTTAGGAAAGCTTTCACAAACCCAATTATTTCAAATAGTTAATATGTACCCCTTATAATGAGAGCCTAGAGAAACACATGCCCAGTTCAGCATTTTGGTTGGTTTCCAAGCCACAATACAATATCCTGGATTCATTCCAGGCATTTTCAGATAAGCCTCTTTATCAAGGAGCAAGAGCATGACATTCTTTCTCACAGTAACATTTGGATTCTAACCCAGTAGGCGTGACCCCGCCATGAGCACACACACACACACAACATGCTTCAAATTCGTGCTAAAAAGAGAGTTGGAATCACAGAATGAAGCTGGTTTAACAGGAGAATGTTATTCAGAAATTTAGTCTTAGCTAAATTATTTTTTATTCACTCTCAACAAATGACTCTAAACCAGATAGAGTGGTTCTTCTATAACGATGGACTTAACTCACAAGAAAGTCTTAGGTGGAAATCATTCAATGAAAACTGTGAGGTAGTGTTAGTTTTAGAAAGTGGAAATGGAAGATAATTTTCTTCTCAAAGAATCCCCTTTTGAGAATACATTTGAAATAATAAAAGCAAGTTTTCAGTGTCTAAATGAATCCTGCTGGCTTTTGGTTTTCTTGAAATTCCCTTGCCTTATTTTGTAGCAAATAAGGAGCTGACTATAGTTCTACTACAGTCCAAAGATCTGTGATGGTCTTTGAAGCCATAAGCTCTCAGGCCTCGAGTCCCTCCATTCTTCCTCCCACACAGTCCACTTTGGTTATAATGTGCCTCGCACAAGCCTGAACGTGAGGACCTTCTTCAATTGTGTACCAAAGGCACCTGTCTTACCTCACCATAGGTGTGGCCCTGATCCAGAAGGTAGCATTGTGATCTGGAAGATCAGCCACTGTATTCAGATAAGCTAGGTTATGCTGCAGTAACGAGCTAACCCCAAAGTTCTGGTGGGTTTAAATCAGCAAAGGATTATTCATTGCTCTTACTCCAGAAGGGCCAGCAGGAGCCTCTGCCCGACCTAGGGAGGAGCTTAGGGAATTGGATGACAGCAGCTTTACCTTGTTGAGTTCCATCCATGTGGAACCTGTGGTCTCTGATCTCGGTAGCAGAGGAAAAATATGGATCCTTACCCTGCCTCAGCTCAGAAATGACACATTACTTCCTTCATATTTCATTATCCAGAACTGCAAGAGAACTGGGGAATATGAGGAAGTGGGATGTTTTTATTATCACTGCTAAACACATGTATACAAGTAACCACAACCAGATACAGTAGAGATGGATTTTATCCAATTCCTCAGACCTAGGCTCTTTTCTAACCTCAGGCTTTCAAATGCTCCTTCTGCCTGGTATACTCATTACAAATGCACCTCACCGCCAAATCCTACTTGGCTACACAACCTTCAGGTCTCAGTTTAGACAGAACTTCTTCTGAGGATCCTTAAATACCCCTCCCTTCCTCAACCAAGGCCCTCTTCTGTGCTCTCATTTACTTTTCCCACAACAATAATAGCTATGATTTATTATCTACTCTATGCCAGGTACCATTCTGAGTACTTCCCATTAGATCCTCACCATAAGCCAGTCAAGTCGTGTGTTAGTCCAAGCTCCCTTGGAAGCACAGCCTGAACCGAGGGCACAGACGCCAGCCCTGTATTACACGGGCAAGGCCAGGGAGGCAGGAGGGCGAGAAGAGGGCAGCGGGTCAGGGAAGAAGAGGAACATGCAGGAGGGACTGGGATACAGAGCTGACCACAGCTTTGTGCAAGCTGGGTGCTCACAGGAAATCAAGAGATTCTCAGAGAGGCGGAGAAGTACTATGACGTCTCTGAAGAGTCCATCCCATCTCCAGTGAGAACAGAAGCAGCCACTCTGCAGGCCCCAGGGCTGTGGTAGTGGCCACAGTCTGGCTTCATGCCCAAGAGAACAAGGCACGCTGTTCCAAGGACTGCTTCAACTAGAAAAGAAAGCAAAGACATGGTTCCAGGGTGATGGGCCAACCGAATCCAAAACACCTGGTTCAGGTGGTTGTGATTTACTTCATTTTCAGATGAAGGAACTAATGCCCAGAAGTATAAAAGTTACCTAGACAACGGGAAAGAAACATAACCAGGATGCATACCTAGAAAAACTGGCCCCCAAACATGTGGTCTCCACTACGCTGCCACAAGAACGGAAACTCCATAAAAGCAAGAACTG